GGACGCCATTCTTTAGGCTCTGGTTGAACCTCTCCACACCACTATTTGCTTGTGGATTGTAGTATGCTGTGCGGATGTGTTTGATTCCCCTATCACTGAGGAACTGAGAAAAGTCTGCAGAGATGAACTGGGGTCCATTATCTGTTGTGATGGCGCGAGGCGTGCCCCAACACACGAACAAGACTTCTAGAATGTCTGTGATAACCTGGGTTGTGATTGTTCCAGCCGGAACCACTTCAGGCCATTTTGAATGGAGGTCGTACAGCACCACAAGAAAACGCTGATGATGGGGAATTCCACGCCCATGGATCTCTCCACAGATGTCAAGCTGGAGATGTTCCCATGGGCGGGACGGCCATGGGACCGGCTGCAGAGGGGTTGGCACTGGAGGCCCACTTTTCCCACTAAGGAGGCATGGCACACAATCTTTAACGAGGGCTATAATATCGCAATCGATGCCTGGCCACCAGATGAGATCTCGGCATCGCTGTTTGAGTTTAACAATGCCTAAGTGCCCCTCGTGTGCCATGGATAGCACGCGGGCCCGCAGGCTACCGGGCACCACGGTGCACAAGCCCCTGGAGACACAGACATCACCCCAACATGACAGTTCATCACGCACCCTTTTAAATGGCATGAGTTTGTCACAAACCCTTGCTGGCCATCCAGAGCGAATGTATGTGCATAGCGAGGACAGTGTGGGGTCACACTCTGACTCATGCCGCAACTCCTCCAATGATACACCTGACTGCAAGGGCGTGTGAAGCATATGAATTAGTTCGTTCTCTGTGTCCTCGTCAGGGGCGACCATGGGTGTGGGAGCATCGATGGAACGAGAGAGTAAGTCGGCGACTACATTGTGCCTTCCAGGGGTAAATTTCAGTACATAGTCACATTGCCTCAGCCTTTCCCCCCATCTGTGCAGGCGCAGGGGTTTATGACCGGATCCAGATGCCATCAGCAATGTAGTCAGGGCCTGATGGTCAGTCCTGAGGGTGAAACGTCTTCCGTAGAGGTAAAGATGCCACCTCTCCGAAGCCCAAACACAGGCAAGCGCCTCGCGTTCACCCACAGAGTAGCGTTGTTCTGTTGGTGTTAGTGCCCTGGAGGCGAAGGCTACAGGTCTCTCCACCCCATCCTGCACCTCTGAAAGGACTGCACCAATAGCCCGATCTGAAGCATCGCAGGTGACTAGAGTCAGACATTCAGGGTTGAAGTGGGCTAGTACAGGAGGTGTTGTGAGCTGGGCTTTCAGTGTTTGTACGGCCTCAGAACATGCTGTAGTCCAGTGCCATTGCTCTTCTTTTTTAAGCAGCTGGCAGAGGGGTGCAGTGGTTGTGTGTCTCGATGTCTTGGGCATGAATAACAATGTCATCCAGAAAGACCGCTACTCCAGGGATGCCGGCCAGTATTGTGCTCATCACCTTCTGAAAGCAGCTAGGGGCGGAGCTTAATCCAAAGGCCATTCGAGTGTACCGGAACACCCCAGCATGCGTCACGATAGCAGTGAGGTCCCTGCTGGCTCTGTAAGTCAAGCTTTGTGAAGACTGTTGAGCCATAAAACTGTGCTGTGAGCTCCTCTGAGGTGGGCAAAGGATATCTGTCTGGAATAACTGCCTTATTCACCAAGCGTAAATCCACACATATTCTTATTCCTCCAGATTTTTTCTTTGCAATGACTAAGTTTGAAATCCAGGGAGCAGCGTTGACTGGATCAATAATTCCCATGTCCAGGAGTGTCCCAAGTTCGCGGGTGACCTCATTTCTCAAGGAAAAGGGAATCCTGCGCAGGGGCTGGATGACAGGTGGCACTTCCGGGTTCATGAGAGGCCAGTGTGTGAAGGCTGAAAGACAGCCTAGGCCATCGAACAGAGCCGGCCACCTTTGCTGCCAAGTGGAGGTGATGTGGTGGATGTCGGAGCCAGCATCGTTCCGGAGCGTGAACCCCAGGCCTGTGAACAGGTCCAGGCCTAGAAGGTTGGCTCCCCTCCTCGCAATGTGAAAGGGAAAAGATGGTAGGTGCTTGGAGCCATAGTGGACCGGCACGTGGAGCACACCTAGGATGTCAATCCTGGAGCTGTCATAGCCACATAGAGCAGTGGTAGGATGGTCTAATGGCAGGTGAGAGAAAAACTTAAAGTAAGTGCTTGAATTTAGGAGCGATGCAGCCACGCCAGTGTCCATTAATAAGGGTAAGGTTACTTCAGCTAACTGGACAGTACATGTTTTGAACGCCACCTGACCAGCAGTCACATTTCTGATCTCTGTATAGCTGTGCTGAGCTGGTGGAGGTCCAGTGTGTTGTGGGAGCGTGGCCGGGGCTGAACGGCACATCTTGGCAAAATGGTTTTGCTTCAGACAGTTTCTACATTGTTGTCCTTTGGCAGGACAATGCTCCGCCTTAGAATTGTGTGATTTAAAGCCACAGTGACCACATACCCGTGCAGTTCGCCTGTTGTTCTGTCTCTGTGTGAATTGTACTGGGAAACCTTGCTCTGAACCCCGACTGTCATTGTCCGAGTGCATGCTGGTGTGATAGGCAGGCTGTAGTTGCTCAGTAGCTCCGTCTGCTAGTGGCCGCGCGCCTGCCAGCTGAGACGTGCATTCCATGGCTGTCTCTATCTGTAGCGCTATATCCACAGCTCTGCTTAAAGTCAAATAGTCCGCTTCTAGTAACAGCTTTTCTCTTGTTTTTTTTTCACATGATGTCCCCTCAATGAACTGGTCCCGAAGTATTTGATCTTGCAAAACCCCGTAATCACACAAACGCGCCATGTCTTTCAAGTTTGTCACGTAGCTTCGAACAGACTCACCAGGTCGTTGCAGGCGCTTCCGAAGTTTATAGCGATGGAGTAAAGTCCTTTGGTGGCCCGTGAAATGAGTCGTCAAGAGGGTAACCGCAGCATCATAGTCGTTGGGCGTCCCAAGATTGCGAAAGATGCGTTGCCCCTCCACTCCCAGACAATGACGGAGGAGCGCCATTTTTCTCTTGTCAGTAATGTCATCAAAGCCTAACGCGTCCAGGTAGACTGTGAAACTCTCCAGCCAGTTTGCCCATGGAACTGGAGGGTCACCGAGGACGGCAAGAAAGTGTGCAGGTGGGGGTAAACAAAATTCAGCCATCCTCGTCGCCAATATAATGTTTACAAAAAAGCCGAGACACACAGAAGTCGTATTACATGCTTTTACTGAACTTCCTTTTTTCTTACATCCTCGCATACGCACCATAAACATCGCGCAGCTGATTCTATAACCAACACAGCTAGATTACTTCATAATAGTAGTCCTCTTGTTATTTTCCTAGCAGTACGTAAATAAATGATTTTAGGAATTATGTGAACACAAGGCATGTTTGAACATTTTTGTTTGAGAAAAACTTATGAGACGTTTGCCAGCAAAGCTGATCTTGTGCTAAAAGTTTTCTCTTTCTGCCTTAGTTTCGACAAGAATCACCACTGTGGGATTTTATTCCTGCGAAAATGTGGTGTGTTGGTGTTTCAACAGCACGGCGAAGAGCTGAGGAACAAAGGCATTGACGCAAACGACTGCATTTATATGCTGTGGTCAGGTAGACCCGCCCACGTCGTCATGCGTCATTGGCCTTTCAGGCGTGAATATAGGTGTCTTCAGCAGATGGCACTAGAGCGCGATATTCCATAGTAATGTTTTGTCCCGAGTTGACCGACTGAATGGGAACTACCTTGTGGTGTTAAACACTACAGACTAGACCTGACTAGGCAGGAAACACACAATAGGAATCATCCTCAGGCAGGGTAACAACAGCATGCATCAATGTGCAACAACAATCTGGCACAGGATAGCAAGCACAAGGGGAATAAATAGGACAGCAAACAAGGCAAGTAAACAGGTGGGCAAGCTGAACCAGAGAGAGAGAGCACATGGCACTGGGAAGCATAATGAGACTAGCCATGTGCTCACATCAAACATGAAATCACACACAAGTACATGACCAACAATAACCAATCACTAGCCATGAGCTTACACAGAACAAGACAACTAATGAGAGACACTCATAAGCTGTGTGTTCACACAGAACAAGATAACATGAATGCACGTAACCAGTGAGAAACACTAGCTGCGTTTGACACAGCACAAGACAGAAACACAACAAGACACTCAGACAAAGACAGGAGACTACAGGAGTGTCAGGGCTCTTTCACAAAACCAAGAAACACACTAGTCCAAGGTGACAGAACCCTGACCGTATGCAGACGAAAAAAGGAATTTCTCAAATCTGGTGTAGATTTTACCTATATATATATATATAAAAAAATAAGCTGGAGAGAAATCATAGGTTGTAATGTGCAGTACACACATTGCAGAGCATGTATAATTTATAAAGCAGGGACATTTTCTCAGATGAGGCAAGGGAGTTTTTCTTAAGTGACACATTTCATGCTTCCCTTGAGCTCAGTGATAATCTTAGTTGTGTCAAGAATGTGGGAAGGGGATGAGTGCAACACAAAAAGTAGCATGAGAGGTCACTGTGTAATATACAGTATGCCTAAGTATGAATAAGATCCATTCAGATCTGCAATGCAAATTTGTGGTATGTCATATGGACTATGGTAAATAAGGAGCTTTATTAGCAAGGGAGCTTGGGAGATTCATTTTTCTCAGATCTGGCACAAGGTCTGTTCATTTAAAAAAAAAAAAAACACTCAACGTTCAAACTGAATATGACAGCACAGTCAATATGGCGGCAGACTGATTATGGGAGTCTGTTGTTTTTTAATGATGGATTTGCTTGGATAAAATAGATCCTGCAGCTATGTTAAAAAGCATCTGCAGCACTGTTTTGATGCTATGGTGTTCAGTAGTGCCAGAATTTGTCTTTTGGGAGAGAATATATGCAATAGGAATTAGTTAAAAAAAAAAGACGTGAAGGGGAAAAGAGAGTGTGTATGTATGAACATGTATCTGTATCTCTTCCTCCATTTCTGCTTTTTTCTCTCTACAATTTTTGGCATCTCTTTTTCTCTCGGTCTCTGCTTGCTCTCTATTAATCCCACCCCCGCCCCCACCTATGCAGTGTGAGGGTACGTTTGTTAGTGAAGCGTGGCGACTCTGCAGTGGTGCGATGCACCTGCAGTTGGATGAGCACTTGACACCAGAGAGCTTTTACACAGAGCTCCACAAGCATTCACATGCACACATATGCTCTCAAAAAAAAAAAAAAAAAAAAAAAACAGAAATGCTCCCACAGAAACCCAGTTGCACACGGCACGTTATTTGTCCCCCCTTCTTCATATAGCCTCGTGTTAGAGTGCGTGCATGTGTCTGTGCGTGTGCATGTGCGGCAGTGCGGTGACATTCAGAGACTGCAATTCAGTTTATTTCTGCCTTCCTCACTCAGTCTCCCTCTTGTGATCTCCCTCTCTTTCACTCCATCCTTTCTCTATCTAATCCTGCCTCCTATTTGCGTTTTCCTTCTCAATATTGTGCTCTTTCTTTCCTCTTAATCACTGAAATGTTTTCTCCTTCTAAAAACCCATTTCTCTATCGCACACATTCAGTTTCTTCTCAAACCTTTTTCTCATTTTCTACCTCCTCCTCATCAAAAGCAACTTGCCTTTCTGCTATTTCTAGTTTTTCCCACTGCATGCCCCTCTCTCTCTCTCCCTCACTCTCTCTGCTTTTTTTCTCTCACACCCTCCCTCTTTCCTCTTCATCCTCCTTCGACAGACAGAATGCTGCAGCATCCACTGAGTAAGGTAACGTGTGTGTGAGTAAGAGTCGGGTAATTTTTGCTACCTGCTCTGCAGCTAAAGGGATCTGTTTTCCCATCAGTTCTCTGCTATTGGATATTACTGGAGAATACACAGAGAATAGAAAGGGTGAATTTAAGGCAGCAAAATACTGACAGAAGGAGGCAACCATGGCCCGGCTGAACTGGTGTCTGGCAGCAGTGATAAGCTGGGGGAAGTTCCTCTTCTCTTGTTTCTTTCCATTGAGAGCAGCTAGGAGGGATAAGGTAAGGCTGCATACTGCGCTGTCTCACTCCAATACATACACACAAACTGGGGTCACCTTTTGAAACTGATTGTGAGTGCTACCAGACAACAGCCTGTTTATTCAGACATGGTTAATGTTTTGTTTCACCCTTGCTGTTTCAGCCTTCCTTTACCCGTGGTGTGTTTTCTGACACTCAGTACATGTTAAAACTGTCTTAGTCAAGTCTATTTTGTGAAGTCTTGTCCTGCTTGTATGTTTGTCCAGATTGTTGTGTTCAAGATGCTATCCTACTGTACATGGTGCATGGTCACTTTAATTTCACTCTTTTTGAGTGTTATTAGTGACAGTGTTGAATCTCATATCTAGTTGTGCTGGTATGATAATAATAATACTAATAATAATAATAAAAAAATAAAAAAAACTGAGAGGTTCAGTGTCCCCACTTTCCCCCACCCCCATTTGATATGTTATTGCCAATATATGTGCTAATTTTTGAGATGCTGCAAATGGTCCCTTAGGTTTATGCTTAGTTAATGGCTGCCATTTCTAAGGAAGGAGCAATTTTGTGGGTACATTGTGAACCCGTTGCATAAAATTGTTTGGTTTTGTTAGTGCAGTAGAGTTTTATGTGGTGTTTTAGCTTTACCAACTCCTGGTGATGCCTACTAGATTTGTAGCGTGAGATACCTAGTCTAAAGTTAATGAGTATGGTCAGATTATGGGTCAAGTTTTTATTATTTTTCTCATTTTATGTCTCTGTGGTTTTCTCCATGCTGATGTGTCTGCCAAAAAAAAACAAAAAAAAAAAATTCTTCTGCCGCAGAACTACTGTTTTTTTTTTTCGTTCCATACACCCCACCCCCAAATTTCAATCTGTCCCAGCAAACGCTTCTATCCTTCAGCTCCTGCCAAGACCATAACCCAGTGTTATTAATCCAATTTCCCCATCAGCTTTCACAGCAACACCATTTTTTGCTCTTTGTAGACCCTTATCCCCTTTCTTCATCTACTATACAGTCATCAAACAAATGGCAATTTCATAATTGGGGGTGTAACAATAGATATGGATTTATACATCGGTTAAATGACTACGACATGATGTATCAATGCAACACTTGACAAAAAAAAGACGCATTTCTGTAATCGCACACTGAGTGAAGTTTCTGTGCACACACATCTGAAGTGCGCACAGAGAGTTAAGATCTTTTTTACTTCTTTTTGTCCTTGAATGGCCAAATGCATATGACATTATGTCAGAATACCAGCCTTGGCAAACACAGTCAGTTAATCAGTTATATCTTCAGTTAACATAAACTAGTGATGCGTGGCTCATGGTTATTTACACGGACGCTGCAGGTAAAGTAATAACATTCCAAAAATTGCTGGTGTGTCATGGTGAATGAGAGATAACTCATGTTTATTAAAATAAATCTCCTTTATTAAAATATTATGTTTAAACTAAACTCATTAGCCATCATTTCATGGTAAAAAGCGACAAACGTGTGCCACTCTTTTTTGTTTTCAACAACAATGTCTATCTCTTCAGAGTAAAAACAATCAAAGAATATAGCTGCAAGCAGCCATTACCGGGGCCAAGCGCAAGAAGCGGCAACATATGCCAAAATGGCAAGGAGTGGCAGACCAACTGCAGCAAGGAGCAATTAAGGGCATTTTGAGAGAACTTTGGGCAAATGGCTAAGAAAATCACATAAACATTAACTTATAAGATGATTTAATGGGTTATCACTTTCGAACAATGGGTGGCGCAGTTACGAAATAGATGTGATGTGGTCAGAGTGAGGTGACAATGACACATGCAAAGTTTGGTGTCAAAATGTGAAGGCATTGCAGAGATAAAGCCTAAATAGTAATTTTGGCAGCATGCCTAAACTTTGATGCTGTGGTATACGAAAACGGTTTTGTCTATCATCGTGCAATTCATAACTTTTAGTCGGCAGGGTCTGGAGATGACACGATTCAATTTTCGTGAAAATCGGACAAACGGTCTAGGAGGAGTTTGAAAAAGAAAGTTTTTCAAAGAAATAAAGATGGCAGACAGGAAGTTTGGCTGATTATGCAAAACCTGATATCTATGTTTTCGGCATAACCCAAGGAATCTATTAAGATCAGTTTCATTGCAATAGGCAAATTTATTCAAAAGTTATTAGCAATCTCAGAAATGAATTATAACTTTTGACCAACAGGTGGCGCTGTCTCAAAATCTTTTGAGTACCTTCAGGGCATGCTGCTTATGGCACACACTGAGTTTCGTAATGTTAGACCAAAGCATTTGTTTAGTATAGCATTGTATTTCACAAAACTGTATTGAAGTCAATGGGAATTTCACGTTTTGTTCTATTATAGCGCCACCAAGAGGCTCAGTCCCACAATTTTTTGTATGTGTCCTCAGAGTGACCCCATACATATGTGTGTCAATTTTGGTGCAAATATCTCAATTTACTTCCGAGTTATAAACATTTATATGAAAAAACACGTAAAAAATGACTGACACATGACTTTGTTTGAATTTTACTACCCCGCCCTTACTATCAATATTTACGCATTTGGGCATTAGCGTATAGTTAACAAGCTATGATTCCGTGTTTCTGGCGGTGGTTTCGTCTCGATCGGAACAGCGGTTTTGAAGATATCGCCAAGTGTTTTTTTCGCGCTAAATCGCTACGCTACGCCATCCGTGAGACGAAACCCGACATATTTGGTATCGTTGGACTCGGCAACGATTCAGGACCTCAAAAATATGACTCCCGTGAAAATAAGTGTACCACACCCAAAGTTATAAGCGTTTGAATAAAACAATTCACCACTAGGTGGCGCTGTTTCGAAACTTCTCAGGCTCCTTCAGGGCATCGTACTGATGACCCATAACGAGTTTCGTAACAATTCGTTCATGCGTTCAAAAAATACAGCATTTTAGCACATAATTCAAAATGGCCGACAGCCAAAATGGCCGATCTGGGAAAATTGGATATCGGTCGACTCGGCATGACGCCCTGAATCTAACGAGACCAAGTTTTTGATTTTTGGAGAAACCGTTCAGAAGTTACGAGCAAAAATAGCCATTTTTCATATCTCCGGACCACTAGGTGGCGCTGCGCCGAAACGCAGCACGTAGCCTCAGGTCATGCTTGTGATAACACGTACCAAGTTTGGTGTGAAAACGAGTAAGCGTTGCGGAGATACAACCTCACGTCTGTTTTTGCAAGCGCTTCGTAAATTTTGTTTACGCGTTTATCGAAAACGGTTATTCGAATCATCTTGAATTCCATAACTTTTTGTCAGCACTGCCTGGAGATGATCCGGTGCGATTTTGGTGAAAATCGGACAAACCGTCTAGGACGAGTTCGCAAAAGTAGGTTTTTTGGAAAATTCAAAATGGCGGCCGTTTTTTTATGACGGAAAATGACGTCATAGGGTGCGATCGAATCGGCATGAGCTCAGGAACAAGAGGAAAAAAGAATTTTGTTGATAGGCCTTACGGTTCAAAAGTTATTAGCATAATAAAAGTGAAACTTTGGACAGTTGGTGGCGCTAGAGGGAATGAGTTAGAGACACCAAAATTGGTGTATTTAAAGTTGGGACTGTCCTCTATCAGAATGTCAAACCAAAACAACTTTCCCGCAAACCGGTCTATGGGCTGCCATAGACGCCCAGTCGGAAGAAGAATAATAATAATAATAATAAATATAGCTGCAAGCAGCCATTACCGGGGCCAAGCGCAAGAAGCGGCAACATATGCCAAAATGGCAAGGAGTGGCAGACCAACTGCAGCAAGGAGCAATTAAAGGCATTTTGAGAGAACTTTGGGCAAATGGCTAAGAAAAATCACATAAACATTAACTTATAAGACGATTTAATGGGTTATCACTTTCTAACAATAGGTGGCGCAGTTACGAAATAGATGTGATGTGGTCAGAGTGAGGTGACAATGACACATGCAAAGTTTGGTGTCAAAATGTGAAGGCATTGCAGAGATAAAGCCTAAATAGTAATTTTGGCAGCATGCCTAAACTTTGATGCTGTGGTATACGAAAACAGTTTTGTCTATCATCATGCAATTCATAACTTTTAGTCTGCACGGTCTGGAGATGATACGATTCAATTTTCGTGAAAATCGGACAAACGGTCTAGGAGGAGTTCGAAAAAGAAGGTTTTTCAAAGAAATAAAGATGGCGGACAGGAAGTTTGGCTGATTATGGCAAACCTGATATCTATGTTTTCAGAATAACCCAAGGAATCTATTAAGATCAGTTTCATTGCAATAGGCAAATTTATTCAAAAGTTATTAGCGTTCTCAGAAATTAATTATAAATTTTGACCAACAGGTGGCGCTGTCTCAAAATCTTTTGAGTACCTTCAGGGCATGCTGCTTATGGCACACACTGAGTTTCGTAATGTTATACCAAAGGATTTATTTAGTATAGCATTGTATTTCACAAAACTGTATTGAAGTCAATGGGAATTTCACGTTTTGTTCTATTATAGCGCCACCAAGAGGCTCAGTCCCACAATTGTTTGTGTGTGTCCTCAGAGTGACCCCATACATATGTGTGTCAATTTTGGTGAAAATATCTAAATTCGCTTCCGAGTTATAAACATTTATATGAAAAAACACGTAAAAAATGACTGACATATGACTTTGTTTGAATTTTACTACCCCTTACTATCAATATTTTTGCATTTGGGCATTGACGTATAGTTAACAAGCTATGATTCCGTGTTTCTGACGGTGGTTTCGTCTCGATCGGAACAGCGGTTTTGAAGATATCGCCAAGTGTTTTTTTCGCGCTAAATCGCTACGCTACGCCATCCGTGAGACGAAACCCGACATATTTGGTATCGTTGGACTCGGCAACGATTCAGGACCTCAAAAATATAACTCCCGTGAAAATAAGTGTACCACACTTAAAGTTATAAGCGTTTGAATAAAACAATTCACCACTAGGTGGCGCTGTTTCGAAACTTCTCAGTCTCCTTCAGGGCATCGTACTGATGACCCAT